CGGCCCTACCCTGAGCGTGACTGAGGGTGGCATCGCAACCTCCCTATCCGCCCTGCTCTGTGCATGACAGCGGGCGGCGCCCCAACTCCCCAATCGACCCTGCTCTGAGCCTGACCAGGGGCTGCACCTAGGGATTGGGCCTGATGGTGGCCACCCGAGAGCAGGCCTAAGCCAGCAGGTCGTTATCTCCCGAGGGGTCCCAGACTGCGAGAGGGCACAGGCCGGGCTGAGAGACCCCCCCTCTCCCCCCTAAGTGCACAAATTTTTGTGCACCGGGCCTCTAGTATATATATATTTATGTATATACTACATGTATATACTGCTATTGTATTTGGTTTTATTATAAAGATATTACATATTTATTATATACAGGTTGGAAAATGTAAGAAAGTTTAAATCAGAAAACAAATTTCATCCATACTCAGAGAAAACCAACAATAATACTTTAACATCTTGTTTCTGTGTATTCATTTTTACATAGCTGAGGTCATATTGTACATACATGTGTTTATATCTAACCTTTGCTTATCATCTTAATCTTGTTGATTTTCTTTTATTACTTTTTTCCTGCTTTATTTTTTTAGGTAATAGAAACCTTACATTATTTTGGAATGAATTTGGATACCAGAATAACAAGGACACAGAGAGGTCTTTAGAGTCTATTCAGTATCAAAGAAGACAAGCCATGGCCATCCCATTCATCATTCAGTGTGGTGAGTGTTGAATTCCATTCAAATTAGCAGTCGTTTAGTGAGTTTTTAAATATGCAAGTCATTGTGCCAGTAAATGGCGCCTGAAGGAAACAAAGGTGGTGGGTAAAACCTGATTTTTACATGCAGTGAGGCTAGAGTCTAGGAGAAAGGTTAAGATAAGCATGAAATTATAGCGATGAAATTCAGATGTAAAAGATGATGCAAAGAGGCACAGAGTTCTATGAGGGTTCAAAAAAGGAGAAAGTTGAAGCAAGGCTTCATGACAAGAGGTAACTTTTGCCATGATCTTTAAAATAGAATTTTGATAGGCAGAGATGTAGCAGGAGGTATGTGTTAATATCAGATATACGTTCAACTAAAAATTTAGGGGTGGAATGATATAAACAGTTATCTTTTTTAAAATTCTTTATTGCTTAAAAGTATTACATATGTCTTCTTTTCCCCCCATTGACCTCTTCCCGGCCATTTCCTCCCCACCCCAGCACATGCCCTCACCCCCCTACTGTCTGTGTCCATGAGTTATGCTTATATATAGGCATACAAGTCCTTTGGTTGCTCTCTTACCACAACCACCACCCCACCACCCTTCCCTGCCTTGTAGTTTGTCCAATGCTTCTATGTCTCTGGATCTATTTTTGTTCATCAGTTTTGTTCATTATATTCCACAAATGAGTGAGATCATGTGATATTTATCTTTCTCAAAATGGTTTTTTTCGCTTAGCATAATGCTCTCCATGTCTCTCCATGCTGTTGTGAATGGTAAGAGTTCTTTATGTTTTACAGCAGCATAGTATCCCATTGTATAGATGTACCACAGTCTTCTAATCCACTCATCTGCTGATGGGCACTTAGACTGTTTCCAAATCTTAGCTATGGTAAATTGTGTTGCTTTGAACATAGGGATGCATATATCCTTTCTGATTCGTGTTTCTGGTTTCTTGGGACATATTCCTAGAAGTGGGATCACTGGGTCAAATGTGAGTTCCATTTTTAACTTTTTGAGGAAACTCCATACTGTTTACCATAGAGGCTGCACCAGTCTGCATTCCCACCAGCAGTGCAAGAGGGTTCCTTTTTCTCTGCATCCTCTGCAGCACTTGTCGTTGTTAATTTGTTAATGATAGCCATTCTGACAGGTGTGAGATGGTACCTCGTTGTTTTGATTAGCATCTCTCTGATGATTAGTGACTTTGAGCATGTTTTCATAAGTCTCTTGGCCTTCTGTATGTCCAGTTTCAAAAAATGTCTGTTTAGGTCCTTTGCCCATATTTTGATTGGATGTTTATCTTCCTTTTGAAACAGCCATCTTTCTGTTTTTAATACCTAGTACTATGCTAAATATATAGTTGGTACTTAATAATTGACTACTGAATACATGAATGATGGCTAAATAATAAAAAACAAAAATATCAGATTAAATAAACATGTTAGAGGGTCTCGAATGCCAAGATAAGAAGTTTTTACTTTGATAAGCAATGGAGAGGCATTGGACATTATTTGATAGTAGAATAACATCATTGAAGCACTGAGCACTTATTGTGTTCCTCTGGTGTATCTTCTAGCCACTATTCCTAGGGTTAGAGAATTAAAGACACTCTGTTATCTGCAAGGAGTCTGCTGTCCAGTGAGGGAGTCAAGCAAACAAATAAAGTACACCATAGTCTGTAAGGATGTGAGGTTAGTTACACAGAGCCAAGCGAACACCTCCCTAACCTTGAGCCTTGAGTTAAGCACCTGACTGGTCTAATATGTGCAAGACGCTGCCAGAATCCAATCTCTAGTATTATGGAGCTATGAAATGAGGCAAATTCCTTAATTTTTCTAAGCCTCAGCTTCCTTTTTCATAACATGAGGTTAGTATTTATAGCTACATCAGACAGTTCTGCGCAAATAAATGTATTAGCGCCCTGACCGGTTTGGCTCAAGCGGATAGAGCGTCAGCCTGCGGACTCAAGGGTCCCGGGTTCGATTCCGGTCAAGGGCATGTACCTTGCTTGCGGGCAATCCCCAGTGAGGCTAACAAGTCTAAGGTCTTTATTCAGCAAGCTGGAGACTCAGGAGAGCCATTGGTTTAATTCCAGTTGAAGTCTGAAGGCCTGAGAACCAAGAGACCCAATGATATAATTCCAGTGTAAATGTTGACAGGTTCAATACCCAGAAAGAACGAGCTTATGTTTTAATTTGAGTCTGAAGGCAGGAAAAAGCTTGTGTCCCAGCTCAAGACAATCAGGAAAGAGAAGTTCCTTTTTACTCTCCAGGGGGTCAGCCATTTTTTGTTTTATTTAGGCCTTCAACTGATTGGATGAGGCCCACCCCACATTAGGGAGGACAATCTTCTTTACTCAGTCTATCAATTCAAATGTTAATCTCATTCAAAACACCCTCACAGACACATTCAGAATTGTTTGACCAAGTACCCATGGCCCAGTCAAATTGACACAAAATTAACCAGCACAGATAATGTCTAGCAATGTTGGCTTTTATCATTATTACTATGTATGTTAACCCTCAGAAACCTTTTAGGTAAGTACCAATAGAATTTCTTCTTACAGATGATGGTACTGAAACATAGAGACATAATTTGTTCATAGACATAGTAACTGGTGGAGCAGTTCAGGTTCTTACCCACTGTGCAAACTGCCTCCATCGAAGAGGAACAGAGAGAAGTGTCTTCCTAAGAGGCATTAGCAGTGTGTCTGGGAGGAGTTCAAGATTAAAGTTAAGAATAGTCTGGAAAATATGGAGTGTCTTGGTCCTAAAAGCAAGGAGGGACTGCAAGGAAGAAATGGACAAGGAAGGCAAAAAAAAAATGGGAAAGGGAAGTCACTGGAAGTTTTCATGTGGTTTAAGAAGAGAGAGAGATCAATTACCTAAATAATTTTGGCTGAAAGTAGTAAAAACCAATTGGAAAGAACTTAAGCAATAATAATAATAATAATTTATTAGGAGTTTCCAAGGGTAGCTCATAGAATCCTAGACTAGTTGTGCCATCAAGTGTAATGGTATATGATCAAGGATTCTCTTGCCTGTGGCTGGAAAGACACCTCATACTTTTGGTTTATGCAACCTGATGTCTTACTATGAAGGATTCATTTCTCACTGTGGTCTTTCTTGTGTGTAATTTTGTTTTGATGATCAGATCTTTGCCTTAAATGGAGAGTCTTGCCTCCCTCTACTGATTATCAGGAAAAAGAACTTTTGGACACCTGGATTTGTGCTAATAATCCCAACCTCTCAGAAAACAGGTAGTGTTTGATGGTTTTCTAAAATTTTTATCCAATTTTGAATTCCCGAAATACATATGTATGAACTGGAAAATGTCAGCTATAGGTACATTTCAGCTTAGTCTCCGTCATCCCCGAGAACTCTTTCTAGCACCCGGCCAGTTGTGGAAAGATAGTTGATTAGCGTGCTTTTCCATCAAGATCAAAGAGACCTGGATGTAATGCTTTGAAACATTGGGGTGTGCAGCTCTATGCTTTCGCTGGTGGTGGACTACCACTCATATTTAAGAGATCTGCCTTTTAGTTCGTTTTCACACAACATAGCACCTTAAAATACAGGAGTTTTATCCAGATGGTGTCTCCAGGAGCATTAAACTGTTAGACCACGTGCATTTTCTATTTAAGTCATATATTGATTTCATTGCTTTGTGCTCTTGGAGGAAGAAGTTCAGACAAAAGCAGGAAAAAGACCAATTAAATATTGATGAATGCCAGTTATTACAAGTCCTTTTAAACTTATATTCTTTTTCTTGGGGGAGGCAGAAGAGTTAGTATACCCCTTTAATAAAGTCACTCCTAAGACAAGCATTGTTTTTCCATGGAGTTTGCTATAAGTCCTTTGGCCTGGATAAGTAAATCAATATTGCTAATGCAGACAATAGTGTAATAGCTCTTGTTGGATTACTTTTATCCAGTCTAGAAAAAATAAAGAACAGATAAAAATTTTTTAAAGAAGAAAACATTCAGAAACTGCTACTACAATCCCACCTGGAGTCCCCAGGTTAATCGTATTTAGAAACTAAGAAAATAAGTCAGATGACAGACAGGGCTCTTAGATTTCACATGACCCAGGGCTTTCTAGGTTCCCTTTCTTGTTTTGCAGCAGAATCTGTTTTGTTTTGTTTTCCCTCAAATAAAATTTGCTTAGACCCTAAATGTATGAACTAGATAAATGCAGAATTGTCCTGCTTTGAATTGAAGGTTGGGAATGTGGAGGCCAAAGGTACCCATGCACTTCCCACTTCTGTTCCCTACTGTCTGCAAAGAGCCTAGAGTTCCAGGGCGTGCGCTTATGAAACACTGAGCTATCTCCCGTCTTCATTGTAGAGAAGTGAAAAGTGAAGCCCAAACGGGGCCTCAGAAACCTGTTCATGAAGCCACTTGCCAAGGTCTTTTGATTCCTAACCTGATTTCAGCCCTAACCTGGAACTTAAATATCTCCCAAATAGTCTGATATGTAGTGTTTTCATAACCAGTATCATTATTTTTATCAAAGTGTTAATAGAAGTTTGTTGCTACTGTTGTTTTTAAATTTCTGTGTTGAAAGACCTGTGCTTGAAAATGTAAATAAAATTGACCTAAGCCCCTAATCCTCAAAAAAAAAACCAACCAACAACAACAAAAAAACCAAAAGAATAGTTAATAACATTGATCACTTATTGTGAGCTAAGAACTTTTTGTACAGCATAGGATAGTGTTTTAAAGTTCAGACCCTGGAGCCAGACTGCTTGGGTTTGACTCCTAGCTCTGTTAGCTGTGAAAAACCTTGGACAAATGTCCAATCTCTCTCTCTCTCTCTCTCTGTCTCTCTCTCTCTCACTTTTTAATATGTTTTAATTGATTTTAGAAAGAGAGGAAGGGGGAGAGAGGGAGAGATGGAAACATGGATCAACTGCCTCCTACACACCCTCTCCTGGGGATTGAGTCTGCAACCCGGGCATATACCCTGACCAAGAATTGAACTGGTGACCTCTTGGTGCATGGGACCAAGCTCAGTCCGCTGAGCTACACCAGCTGGGGTCCAATCTCTTTTTAACTCAGCTTCCCATCACCTAGAGTGGGGTGTAATACTAGTATCTTTTGCATCTTTTCTTGGTCTAGCTGAACCCCTTGTAAAGTCAATCTGCCATGTCCCTGGAGAATTTTGGCCCCTCTCCACAGAACTAACCAAGTACCTTGATTTTGTAAATCAGTCTTAAGTCGTGGTCAGACCCACAGAACTCGGAGACTACCCTCTACAGTTTCTTTATTGCCAAATTATCATTACTTATACTCTTACCCTTTTCTCCTTGAAAAGTGGTGATGCCATCAGAGAGCACTGTTTCAAAGCTGCACTAATTCTGTCTCTTTTGCACATCAAAATAGTCCATTTGTGACGACAGGCAAAATAAATTTAGCCATGTTGACAGAAAACTGATGGACCAAGCCTAAAATGCAGAAAGTTCTTTTATACTTATAATTTCTGTTTAAGTCCATGCTTCGCTAAACATATGGAATTGTATATTAAAATTTAACTTTTTTTTTCAAAAACGTTTTTTTGAAGACATTTGAATGGATGGCACTTTCATAAAATACTTGGGGTTTCTCTTTTTTGAATAAAAACTTAATGCTGCCACAAGGTTCTTTTCTCCCATGAAATAGGAACCTTATAGGTAATGCCTCACAGGTGTCTTCATCTCAACACCATGGGTGGCTACATATATAGTAGGTGTCCCCTGATTTCAATAACAACAAATACCACATGTGGGTGGAATTAAGTGTGAAGTTCTTTCACAGTAGTACTTGAATTTGCTTGTAGTTCTCTGTTGGTAGGTATAAGATATATATAAGCTGCAGCTCCACAAAGCAAAGAAATTGTGGGTTTGATCTACTTCAGATCAAAAGTGCTTATGCACTGTTTCAGATGAGAGAAGGTCTCTCTATTCCCAACCTCCTCCTCCTCCTCCTCCCTCTCCTAGCCTAATACACATGTATTTTGTCCCTTCCCTCTCCTTTTCTTATTACCTATGTAAAGCAGGCTTTAAGAATTGACCTTAACATTCTGACCTTAACCGTACATCCCCAGCCATGAACAAAGCCATGCCCAGTGGGAGTTGAACCTCTTATCCTTGCCAAGCCTCGATTCCAGGGAGAACAATATAATCTCTCAGTTTTTCAGCAGTTTGGCTAACTCAGCTCCCAGCACAGAGCCACAAAACCAAAAGTAGGGGAAAAGGCCTCAAACCTTTCGAATCATATGTCCCAAAAGTCATTAGCACTTTTCGTAGCCATAGCAGGGGAAACCCTCATTCGCAGCCTGTTTATTGTCATTTAGACACAATTCTGCTTGATGATATACATGTGTTGACACACTGGTGGTTAGAGGTTGGGAAGCAGAGTGATCACCAGAAGCAGATACACGGAGAGCAGCAGGAGAGAAGGACGCTGCAGCAGGGGGTGTTACTGGGGGGTTATTTGGTGAAGGACTCCGCCACTCCCCCGAGGCTGTCAGTTAGAGCGTCACATCAAGGTCCTTCACAGTGATCCCGGACCAGCATGCAGAGGGTCCGTGTGTTTCAGAAGCAGAACTGTTTGGTGTATGGTAGACAGACAGATGGATTTCTATCCCTAATATGTTTTTTTGAGGGGAGGGGAATGTTTAATAATAATAAGATAAGATTTAATTATCTAAAAACATTTTTGCAAAAGGCCTCATTTCCTGATAATGGGAGATAAATGAAGCATTAGTAAATACTAGTAATGAAGAGTTTTCTCATTCTGGTAAATATATACTACCTTTCACTTTTTTTCCATTTAGCTGTTCCGCCCCCCCCCCCCATTAAGCTCTTTTTTCATGATTTAAGGTTTTGTATTTCCTAAAGTCATCAATACAATGCTCTTCCCTTATATTCAAATTTTGGAAATAAGACATAAAGACTTATTATGCTTGTAGAAGTAAATAATCCTTTACAGACAGCAAATAGTTTTATGTTTCCTCCTGATGTTATTATATATCTCTTGTACTTGTTGATTGTGAAGTTGTCATCAGGCGGAACGCTTACCTCCCATCCCCCTGGGCACCGTGAGCACAGTGTCGCTATCAAAAAATGAGAAAGAGAAGCGACTTCAGGAGTCAGTCCGAAGGTATCAGGATCAACTGGCAGAACAGCAGCTGGAGGTAAGCAGTTAATTTCTTTTCAAAATCCACCCTGACGCTTGAGCTGTTGGTTTCATGTGTGCAAATGACTAATGGTTTACCCAGGTTAAACATTCAGCCTCTTTTTTCCATCCTCTTTTGTCGCCTCCTCCCAATTTTGGACCTAAGGACTGTTCTAGAGGTGAGCCATAACGGCTCCTGGGGGCCAGACAGGTAGGAGAGTTCTTAAAAAATACTGGGATGTGTTATCTGAGTCCAACTGCACAGCAGTGGTATGAGGGACGGGGAGCTTATTTCCATTCTAGGAATGCATGCAGAGCCTCATAGAGGTCACCCCGAATGTCAAAGGTCAAGTGGTGGAGACTGGGACACCAGTCTGTGTGACTCCAAAGGTTAGGCCCTTTTAAATTTATTAAGCTTCTTCCTTAAGGGCAGAATTTTTAGGTAAAGAGTTGTTCTTTTAAAGAAATATTAGCCTGTTAATACAGAAACTCAGAATCATATTTAATTGTTAAGAAAATTCAATGAATAAAACATTACTATCAGTAAATGTAGGTAACCATGACAATTTCAAGTGAAGGAAAATTTGCAGAAATATTGTTTTAATCTCTGCTCTAATAAAGTCATTAGATCTCTGTTTCCTTTATGGATTTGGCACCTAAATTCAATAATTTTTAATAGTATAGCATGTCAACTTCTTCAAATAGTACTTGAGAAGGTCAACCGCCTATGTCCAAATGTGTGAGCCCTCTCTACATGTTAGGACATAAACTGCTCATTCAAATAGAAAAGTCTTTTGCAAAGAGGGAGGTAAGACCCCCTAGACTTAATGCCTTATTATTATGTGTATTCCTGGGCTCTTAGAAGATAAGCCTTCTTTTTTACCCCGGTTTGGTTTCTGTTTTCTTTCCTGGGCTCCCCCCTTGCTAGGGATCTGCCATGCAAATCAGCTGCCATCTGAAGCCTGATTTGCATATCACAGCCAAAGAAATCTGACCCTCCTTTATAGCCTGGAGTCTCAGGATTTCTTTGGGGGAAAATACTGAGTGTCACTTTGGGAATACATTCTCTTATGCATTCCCTATCACCCTAAAAGCAGCTCAGATTTCTACAGATTTAGAGCCTCTAGTCCTGGGTTTTATAACAGGTCAGAAGTAAAGAAGGGTATCACAGCCTGTGCTTATTTTCATAAATAAGTAGGTGGAGTCATATCTTTCCACTGTGGAATGTCTTAATTTGTTCGGTTTCTTATTTTGTTTACCACTCCTGGTAGCTCTGTGGAGGCAGTCAGCACAACCTGAATTGATTTGATCTTTGTTGTTGTTTTTTCCCTATAAGGTAAAGGCCAGAGCTGGCCTTTGCAAGTACCAGTGCCCACCATGAAGTCTTAACTACCTTTGTTTGTTAGGATTGAATGTTTTATTCGTTAGTGAGGTAGAGGTTTTGATTGATGGTCGCTGGTGGAATAACAGATTTGGGCCATCCATTCTGTTTATTCTTTCTTTCTCGGTAGTTGACTTTTTCATAAAAAGTTGAGCCAGGTTTGCCGATTCAGTTTGTTTCAAACATAAACAAAGATGTTTAGCAGTACTCAAATAGAAACCTACTTCCACCAGTTCAAAGGATATAGATTGCTCACCATTCTCTTTGCCCCATTTTGTGAAAATAAGCCTAGCATCTCAGTATCAGGAAATAATTAGAGGCATGCCGGGTAATTATCGTTTGACCACCTCCTGCTCTCTCATCCTGCTTCCGACTACAAATGCCTACTTATCCATTGACCAGACCTGTGAAGCAAGTATAAAAATGACCTAAATTTGCACACCCCACTTCTTACTCTCTCGTGCTTCAACTTTCATGGAAGAAGGTATCTTGATCTAAAAATTGGACAGTTGACTATATAAATCAAATACCATTCTGGATCTTAGATTCTGTGGTTCTGGACTTTTGTCACTGACAACCAGGAGGGACCGAATAATGGCAAGGTAGCATCATGGTACTAGTATGAGAAATCAGCTACAGCTTCTCCACCCCTCATATCCTCCACTGGTGTGTAGAGTGACTCAGTTTAACTTCTAAGAGCACCACCCACAGGACGCCCTAGTTAGAGAAGAGCCACAATGACTTAGAACACTATTCCAATAAAAGAGATATTCCAATGATTGGACCAGTTCCTCTGGGAGAAAATGAAGTAGCTAGGTCCAGAGCTGTCATTTCAACGGATGGTGTCTTATAAAATCCTCACCACATTCCAGCTAATTTCATCAATTATAATAACACAGGGAAGTACAGTTCAAAGAAGTTGAATAACTTGAATCAAGTCACACATCTTTAAATAGTGAAGTTGGGATTTGTTTCCTTTTTGCTTCATTCTAGCACTGATCTCATGCTTTCACAGGATAAATACAGACAAAAAGGACCCGAGAACATTTACAAAGGCAACAAACAGACCATATTTGTTAGGGAAATGTGTACGTTTTCCCTAATAAATCTAATAGGTGAGCTCAAATTCAAGATATAATTGATAGGCTGTGTCAGCAAGCCAAGACCCTCTTTATTCCTTGTGCTTCTGAAACAGTCCACTCCACTTTCTCCTTTCTGAGTAAATGAAGGAGTAATCTGTTCCTAACTGCTTTTCTAGATCACCCCTTAGTACCTGCTGTTTTCTATAATGAGTGACTAGTGCCACCTGATGGCCAAACTATGAAGCATTTCCATTTTCCCGGCCTCTCCAATTGTTCAGCTACTAGTTGGCCTATTATCTGCATGATTTTTATTCTGTTTTTCATTAAACCCAGACGACAATTTAAAACCATAAAGTAGAGCTACACTTCTCCCTTTCTTTGTTTTAACTTACAAATTAGATTCTCTTCTACCTTCAGTTGTATGGCAAGGATGAATGTGTCTTGATTGTGCCCAAGAAATATAGTTTAGGATACATTTCATTCAGGGTTTTTTGGCATCACTATAATCCACTTGGTGCTCTCAGTCCTTAGAAGAAAGATGATAACTTAATTCCCTGAATGAAGCCTACTCATATTTATACATAAGCAATGCTAATGGGTAGTATCTATATATGTAAAAGGCTAAGCGACCATCTGACTGTCCAACTGGCAGCTTGATGTGCACTGGCCACCAGGAGGCAGACACTTAACACGGGAGCTGCCAAGCTGTGGTGACTTGGCAGCTGCGGTTCTTAGGTGATGTGCCCAGAACCAGAGAGAAAGGAGCCCAATTCTAGGGTATGCCACCCGAGAACCACCCTCTTGCAATCCGGGACCCCTTGGGGGATGTCGGAGAGCCAGATTTAGCTGGATCCCCGCAGGCCAGGCCAAGGGACACCACCTGCCAGAGGGACCCCGTTCACTCCACAGACAACCTTTGAGCCACGGCGCTGGCCCAGGTGCGGCTGGCCAGGGAGGGACCAAGGAAGGTTGGCTCCAGGGCATGTCCGGCCCATCTCGCCCAGTCCAGCCTGCCAGCCACCTTCTAATTAATTTCCTTTCATTGTGCATGAATCTGTGCACTGAGGCACTAGCGTTTGTATAATCAGTATGTTTGTGCAAATGGGCTGTATTGCTTATGTGCCCTCTAGGTCTTTCTGGGTTAAATTTTCTAATCAATATTTATTTCTTATCCTACAGTGAGTCCAGGCTTTCTTATTTGAGACCAGTTACTTTTCTTGAATTAGTTTCTTCCCTCCTGTAGGGTCTCCTGGTGAGCTGCTCCGTGCTCTTTAGCATGTTCTCCACGTCCATGCTGCTGCTAGTGCTCTTCTTCCTGCTGTTTTGTCATTATGTCATCTTCCTCTCCCTCATCCTTCAGGATCTGAAACTAATGTCATTCCTGTATGAAGTCTTGTCTCATTTCCATTTGTCCTTGATGGGTGTCTTTTTTTCAAGAAAATTTTGCTTTATCCCTGGTATTATAGTTACTTGTGTATATAATGTCTCCTACATTAGACTGTAAGCTTTTTGAAAGGTGGGACCATTTTTATTTATCTTTGCATTCCCAACAACACTTAGGCCTGGATCTTTTACGTAACAGGTGTTTGCCAAAGGAATTTGATTTATGCAGAATTCTTTCCAAATAAGTACAAAAAGAAATATTTCTCATTTGAGTGGATTGGTTGACTCTACATAGGTTGCACTTAAACCTTTCGTATATGTTATTGTAAACCAAAATGTCCTTACACTTGCTCAAAATAAAGTGTTGTATTTGGATGGGAGTGCGGAGACTGTATTTGGATTTTATTTGTTGTGTTCACAGTCTTTGCATCAATGAGTAGCCTTTGTAAACTCCACGCCTATTGAAAAAGAACTCCAGCAATAGCATCCTTTTCTTTTGTAGTGCTCACGTGGACATAAACAACGCAATATGTAGTTTAAGCTGACAAGTCCCACATTGGTTGTTTTAGCAATAAATGTGGAGAGAGACGACATGCTTAACATTTAGCTATGTTTTCCAGTTGAAATGGCATATCTAAGTATAACTCTGTAATGAAGAATGTGAATACTTTTTCCCATTTACAATTTCCTCTGTTTAATGTGTCATTATTGTGTAGGATGCTGAGATTTCAAATCTGTATAATTATGCAGACAGATGTCTTAGGAAACATATTTATTCATCAAGAGTACTTTTTAGCTTCCTTATAGAAACTGCCATAATCTAAAATTTATGACACCTAAAGTCCTTTGTCTAACAAGAGGCTATTATACACACTGTAGCTGAAATATTTTACTTTATTACTCTCCCTACAAAGATCTCATTTCTCTATGGTGATGCATTGCTTTTCCAAAACGGATGATGCATAACATATTCACACTTGTGGGCCCTGTGTTCACAGCATAGCAAATGAGACATTAAACGAATTGCCCATGATGAGCTAGTTGAGAAGTTTCTTTTTTTAAAAAAATGTATTTTATTGATTTTTTTTTACAGAGAGGAAGGGAGAGAGACAGAGAGTCAGAAACATTGATGAGAGAGAAACATCGATCAGCCGCCTCCTGCACATCCCCCAC